TCCCCTCCTCCCCAGTGCCCAGTGCAGTAGTCTGAGAGCTGACCTTGCCTGTGAAGACTGAGGCAAAAAAGATGTTGAGCACTTCAGCCTTTTCTGCATCCTCTGTCACAAGGTTGCCTCCCTCATTCAGTAAGGGACCTACACTTTCCCTGAGCCTACTCTTGCTACTGACATACTTTTAGAAGCCATTCTTTTTACCCTTCACATCCTTTGCTAGCTGCAACTCCAACTGCACTTTGGCCTTCCTGACTTTATTCCTATAAGCCCGAGCAATGCTCCTTCATTCTTCCCTAGTTATTTGTTCAAATTTCCACTTCTGATAAGCTTCCTTTTTGTGATTTAGTTTACTGAAGAGTTCCCTGCTAAGCCAAGCTGGTCTTCTGCCATATTTGTTAGAATTCCTGCACATCAGGATGGTTTGTTCCTCCATTCTCGGTAAGGCTTCTTTAAAATACAGCCAGCTGTGCTTTAAAGAAGTAAATGACTGGATCCTCTTTCTCCCTTACTTTTTATAACCTACACATGGCTAAGATAATACCTGGTGCATCTACACATTAATTCTCATAATATCTAGTACCTCTGGCCACTTTTACATGTGCTCTGAGAGCCACTCTAATTAAAGTGCCACAGCGTCTCATGTATCAGTGTCCTGTGCTTAAAAATGGTGGCAGGGGTACTTGAACTAAAGCTCATTGAATGCTAATACACAAGACACAAGAGGCTGCTGGAGCACAGTAATTACCATGCTTCAGCAGACTCAATTGAGTCTGCTCTGACACACTGTAATTACAGTGGAGCAGCCTCTGTGCTGGTGTACAGGCACTCTCCAATGTGAGGTACTACAAAAATATGAATTAGCTTGGCTTAATGCACATTAACTAAGGCACATGCTCTTCAAGTGATGCTTAATGCACACTAGCCTATTTTAATGCGCATTAAGTAAAAAGCACAACTTTTTACATGATGCTTTAATGTGCATTAAAATAGGCTAATGCACTTTTAAGTACACAGATGTGCCCAGTCAGTGTACCTACATGAGACACTATGTCACCATAGTGACAAGCTATGACAACATAGCATGTTGCTACGGCAGGAGTGGGCAAAATGCGGCCCACAGGCCGGATGTGGCCCACTAGGCCATTCTATCCAGCCTGTGGGGCCCCTAAAAAGTTTAGAAAATTTATATTTATCTGCCCCTGGCTGCCTGTCATGCAGTCCTCAATGGCTTCCTAAAACTCAGTAAGCGGCCCTCTGCCCAAACTAATTGCCCACCCCTGTGCTACGGCAATGTAGCAACAGCAGGCACAAACCATAGCAACCAGCTACGTCACCGTAGCTCATCGCTATTTCAGCATAGCATCTAAAAACAACCATGCACTGCCGGGACTGCACAGTACTGCTTTAGCAAGTACTAAATGATTGCACAGTACCACGTGTGCAGTCAGGAGCACATGTAGACATGCCCAGTGTGTCACAAAAATAGATGCATTGATGAAATGTTAGGGACTTAAAGAGGTTGGAATAGGATCATAGTTAGGTCCCTAAATCTTAAGAGAACAGGGTCTGGATAAAAGAGTAAAGAAAACAAAGACAAAATATGAGAAAAAAATAAACTGATGTTAGGTACAGCTAACTGACAGACAAAACAAAACATAATTTATATAACTATATTTAGATTTATAATACCTTAAGCTTTATGATATTCACATGTTCTTTTATCAATGTTACTGCAATAAAATATATTGATTGATAAGCTTCTATTCTGAAAGAATAACAGCTTTTTTACATCTACAAATCTACATGGAAATCATGTCCACTTTTGCCTAGCACCAATTTTGTATTATTATTTCATTTATAGAATACACTGTCAACTTCTCAGCATGAGCCGTTGTGAGGAAAAGGTTTGATTTAATACTTCTTCATTACAATATTTCCTGCAGAATCTTATGATTAGCTCACTATGTCTTGACATTGTAAACTACAGTTTTTTTCCCTGAAAAGAAAGAACTTTGTTAACATTTTTCTTTAGAGCAGTAATGCAATTCAAATGAAAGCAAAAGGAAGTAACTTAGCTTTATGGTGGATGATCAATTATTTAGCTACAGTGAAGACACTTATAAGTGTCAACATTATGGGTAGGAGGAATTCTATATTATAAAATATATTAAGGACAAATTTAAGGAGTGTTCCCCAAGACCAGGAAAACTGTAGAACTGAGTATGTATAAACAGAGGTACCAAACCTCCAACTGCATACAAGAGGCTGGATCTTTATGCCTTCAGGGGATCTCAATTAGAACAGCTAGGATTTCTGTGGAAAGAAGTGTTTATTCACATGGGCCCCTGTTACCCCAAGAGGTGCCCTCGTGAACAGGGATTGGAGAGGCTCTGTTCACCAGGGCACTTCTTGGGGTAACAGGGAACATTGGTCACAAACTGACAGACAGCAGATTTAGGCTAAATATCAGAAAAAACTTCTTCACTGTAAGGGTGGCCAAAATTTGGAATGGGCTCTCAAGGGAGGTGGTGCTCTCCCCTATGTTGGGGGTCTTTAAGAGAAGGCTGGATAGGCATTTGGCTGGGGTCATCTGACCCCAGCACTCTTTCCTGCCAAGGCAGGGGGTCCGACTCGATGATCTGTTGAGGTCCCTTCCGATGCTAGCATCTATGACTCTATGAATCTATTACAGGACCAGGGCCATAGATTGCATATAGAAATATGCAAGGCAATTTGAATGGCATAAAGTGATCTTTCAATAAATTTTCATAATGGGTTTTATGCAGAAATTATTATCCATTCTGGGCACAAAAATGAGTACTGCTCTACACAGGGAATAAGGATAAGAGGGTAGGCATGTTATGCCCCACATAGTCTGCCTGTATCATTTGAATCAGCAAAAAATTGTGGAAAAGCAGATACCAATGGGCTGTTATTCTTCATCCCACCTAGCTGGATAAAAGTAGAATGGCATGAAGCAGAATGGCATAATTTTCATTACGTTCTTTCATGGGCAGGTACATGCACTGAAGCTGACATGACAAGGGGAATAATCTGTACAAACAAAGGGACAGGTGCAAATTACTTTTTTCCTTTGGCCACGGAGGGAACAAGAATCGAATAATGACTGCCAGAATCCTGTCCAAGGCAGAACAGTAATGTGCTATCTGCTCATGTGTTACCCTCTAGGAAGTACAGATAAATATACAGAAAGGGAATACAAACAAATCAATCAGAGAAACAGTGCGTATCAGATAATATTTTTAGGTTGAGAACCTGGCTCCTCTAAAGCTAATGTAAGTTTTGCCGCTGATTTCGCTGGGGCCACAAATTCACCTTTCGTGTGTTTCTCGACCTCAGAAAAATGGTAAGTAGAAGGGAAAGGACTACGGCGATCACCCAGGAGAAGAAAAGTATCCTTTGGCACAAAGATAGGAGGAACCAAGGAAAGAAAGAATAGTGAGACAGTTGTTAGTAAAATAAAATGATCTGGTAAAATATCATATATATATATTCAAATACGTGGCGGGTAAGTGGGAAGTATATATATTTTATATATATACATATGTATGTTTGTATGTGTGAACGTATGTATGTATATATATGTATACATGTGTATATATATATGTATAATATATAATTTTTGATGCCAAATAAAGAAAAATAAAGATTAAGACACAAAAAGTTCCTATATCTTGAAACACAGTAGGTGACAAGATGTTTACTGCACAGTTGACTAGCTACATAGTAAACATCTCGCCATGTACATGTGTGCTGCTATTAGGCTGAAATAAAATTATTTACTCCACAGCAGAATAGTACTTATAGAATAGTAAATACAAGTACTATCCTGCTGCAGAGTAAAAAACTCCATAACACCACATGTGTAGACGCTGCCCTGGCTGGCTGGAGCATGAGGGGGCTTCAGTGCAGGGGCTGCCTGCCCGCTAGCCCCACATTGAAGCACCCTCATGTCCCAGCCAGCCCCTCCACAACATTTTGAGCCAGAGGGAGCAGTCCTAGGCTGGCAGGCTGACCCCCTGAGCCCACTGCCAGTCAGGGCTGCTCCACCTCAGCTCAATGTGCACCTGGGAGCAATAAACTCCAGAGCAATAACCTCCACAGTTTTTTCATGTGCCATAATTGCACATGTAGACACAACAAGTGAGCTTTTATCACCATATGTATATGAGTCTTCCAAAGGCTACCATTTCAGATAAGATATTAAAAAAAAAGTCATTTATGTACAGAAATAACATAAGCAAAGAACCAAAGGCTTTTGAGAGTTTCTGAGGTCTTATTTGTATCTGTGTCAGTCCAGGTATGAAAATTTCAGATATTAAAGGAGCATTCTCATTTAAATAAAATTATTTGGTTACACTCATCTCTTCAAATATCACACAATACAGAGTTTCCAAAAAGGCAGTATAAGGCACATATTCATTTCAGATACTGCCAAGAGTATGATTTAATGCAGGACTTGTTTGGTTTAATGCTAAACCTAATCATTTAATACAGCTAGAATGAATTGTCCCATTTCAGAGTTTCCATAATACTGTTTCTGATAAGAAGGGTTGAGTTAACTCTGAAAACAAAATCCTCATGCAATGGCAGTGAAATTTAAAACAGGGTCATATTTGTGTTGCTGTCACTTTGTAAGTTTTAAAAGAAAGTGCAATCCGGTTCACATGAAGGAGAAAAGAGATGTATTAATGCATGTTCTATACATAGCCAGGCAGGAGAATTGACATCTGGCACTGATGCTTGGTATAATAACAGAAGGAAGCAGTAGTAAATTTGGGGGGTAAGGAAGCTGAACTCACCATGTATTAGATGATTAGTATTATAAATGCCTTCAGATAAGTTAACACGCTAGTAAGTAGCAGACTACTAGAGAAACTTTTTTCTATTTATATACAGAGATTAAACCAGTCTCATATTAAATTACAAATAATATATTTTACTGCTAGGTAAATAAAATATAGCATATATAATACACTCACTTCTTCGTATTCTAAGTATAATTCTTCTGGTGTCATTGAAAGAATGCCTTTATCAGTGATGTTCCCTTTCTGACCATCAATGGCAAAATCCAGCTGAAAAATATATACAAATTACTTGAAATGTGTATCAAATGCTTTTTGATTACATACCATAGTTATAATAGCTAGGGACCTGAGCCATGGTTATTTAAACCTTAAATTAAGGTTTAAATAATATTATTCTATAGACATGTTCATTCATATCAGACATTTATTTTGTGACTACTTGAAAATATAAATGTTATAAACCATTATTGGGATAGGTCTGATTTAGGCATATATAATATGTAGTATATAATATATACTTATAATATTTAACTGTGCTGTTGTCCAATGTAGTGACAGGTGGAATAAATTTATGGCTTGACAGTATTCACACACACACACACACACACACACACACACATTTCACATGTCTATATGAAAACTCCTTTAGAATGAGTGACCTAAACATTTCATACAGCCATAGTTGTTTTTTCTATAATAGTTAAGTTGGCAAAGCAATTTCTATGACATATATAGTATGATGATGATGACAACAACAACAACAAGGGTGATGATGAATCAATCATACTAAGCTGTCTGGAGATGTATATGAAGTATGTTATGACAGAGTTGACAGAATAATGTACTTGGTCCTCTGATAGAAGTATGGACTTCAAGTAAGTGGGAGGTATTACCTACATAGCTTAGACAAAGATGAAGAAAATAACAACATAAAAATATCATGTGGTTTTTCAATTGTTATTGTCCGTAAACTATATATTAGAATCAAGATACAGTGATAATAAAAAGAAAGAGAGGAGGTGTTTCATTGTGCCTTTTCCATTTGATTGGAATGTTTAATTGAAATATACCAAGTGGCACAACACAACATAACTGTCTGTTAACAAAAAGTTGATCAACTCCATAAGGTTACTATAAATACAGGCTACCAGCTGTCCTGAAAGATTAAAAAAAAAATTATTGGGACACAATATCCATTGTAGACTGTATCATGCGATACAACCTGTGTACAGGACCTCCATCTGACGCAGGAGGTACATGGTCCCACTAGGGGGAATGACATACTGGATCTGGTATTGGCAACGGGGGATGACATGGTAGGGGACCTACAGATCGGTGGTCACCTGGGGGACAGTGATCACCAAATAATAGAATTCACCATAAGACGTCGAGTGGGTATGGTAACTAGTAGGCTGAAAGTGCTAGACTTTAGGAAAGCTGACTTCAATGAACTCAGGCGTTTAGTCAAGGACGCACTGCAGAGTAAGAGTTTTAAAGAGTTGGGAGCCCAGGAAGGGTGGCTGTGCCTTAAGGAAATTATCCTTTGGGCACAGAGGGAGACGATCCCAATGCGGGGAAAAAGGGGGAAAGGGGCCAAGAGTCTTCCTTGGCTGACCAGAGAAATCCAGAGCAGTCTATGGGCTAAAAGGGGGGCATATAAAAAATGGAAACGGGGAGAGATTACTAAAGAGGAGTATACCTCCTCTGCTCGCACTTGTAGGGAGGCAGTTAGACAGGGCAAAGCTACCATGGAGCTGAGGATGGCATCCCAAGTTAAGGATAACAAAAAATTGTTTGAAATTGCTGGAAATGGAGTAAAGCATTTCATTCATTTAAAATGTCATGCTCCTTCAGGTAAGGATTACCTGAAAGAGTTATGCTTGCGATTCTTTCTCTGTGAGTATGTAAGCATGGTTTGACTGTTTATGGTCTGCTATATTCTGCACATTCACCAATGGCTGTTATAACGCAAGAACAAAAATGAAGAAGAAAGAAGGAGATAAGAGAACAATAATGATAATAATAATGATAATATGCATCTTTGGGGAACCTGATATTTTCCAGTTACTTGTTACTATACATCTTATTTAAAAATCAAATCTCTCTGTTTTAAAAAATTCCGGCTATAACAGTGACCTCATGTTACTGCCATCCCTCCATAATATGTTAAGAAAAAAAAACTACCTCTGCATTGTTTCCTCTTGGATGCAGTAGTTTTCCCAAGAGAGTTTTTTGCCTCCTTCTAGATCTTCATGAAAGTATGAAAGGAAGAAGAGGTTCTAAACAGATTATGATAGTATGGCACCTTGTCTTTTAAAATCACTGGGTTGTGGGAACTTACTGAGTAAAATCCAGGCCAACTGAAGTCAGGAAGACTTAGCCATTAACCTTAGTGGAATCCCAGACTTTGGGGTAACTGATTATTGATTAATTTAACTGATGTTAAAGTAAAATGGACTGTCATGAACCATTACATAGTAGTCCAACTTTCTGCACAAGATAATGGTTTGGTGGGAACTTGCTATTGGAGGCCATATTGTTATGCAGATTACAGGTAACCTTGTTGCTAGGCTACTAATAAAAGTGGCAGAAACAGGTCTACATTGCAGCCCAACCTTTCATTTGCTTGCACTTTAAAACATGAAAACAAACATTTATCCCAAAGTTTATCTGACTACCCATGACAGGACAACAGAGATTCTCTCTTTTACTGACAGGAGACTCAGACTCAGTACACAGACTGGCAGCGAATCTTCTTGAATTTGATGAGATCTAAAATTTCCCTCCAGTCCATGCCCAATATTTATAGATGGCTGGTTCTAATAGTCTAATAAATTATCACTAATTGGTTTTATTTAAATTCCTTTTTTTTCACTGAAACTTTTAGAACTGGTCTAAACCAGATCTCTTGTGGACTCAGAAGGTGTCAATTAACTAGGGTTATATTCCTATATTCCTGGAACAGAAAAAAGGAGGCTTTCTTATCTCTAGGGCCCTACCGAAATCATGGCAAGAATGGGCTGTGTGGGAGCTTCTTTAATCTTGAGGGTTCCCCTATGCACCCCACACCTGCTGCTGATTGGCTGAGGGGCCTTGATGCTTGCTGTTGACTAGCCAGGAGGCAAAAGCAGCACTATATTTTAAACCATGGTTTTTGCCTACCTGCCAATCAGGAGCGAGTGGCAAGGCCCCTCTGCCAATTGGCAGGGTGGTGTGCAGGGGAAACCTGCAAGATAAAGGAGCTGCCACACAGCCCACTTCCACCCTGAATTCAGTAGGTCCCTACTAATCTCCTTTTCTTCCCCATTGTGGAGTGCTGCTCAGTGCTGGCCTGGCTTTTTGTTTTTTTAACTTAGTTTATGGTCGTCTCTGAGGAAGCTGTTTTTGTTTTTTAACAAATTATATAAGCATCTTAACAAAATATACCTATTATAGCAAAATAACATTTAATACATTTGACTGCATCAATCACTACTACTAATATATTAAGATAAAGCTATGACATAGCGTACCTGGATTATTTAATGTATGGTCCTCCCTTAACTCCTTTCAGGCCTTGTGCTTTATTTAGTTGCGTTTGATGGCTTTCTTTACTTTGCTAACCAAGCTAGTTGTCACATCTGCATAGGTTCGCACTATGGTCACTCATAAACAGGCTTTTGTCTTCTGCTTAGGAACACTTCTGCATCTTAGCCTAGGCCCCTTGAAAATGGCCAGGGCTAGCACCGACATTACTAGAGAACTGGACGCAGGTGTAGACAGCAGCCTTCCAGGAAGAGTAGCAATAGTGAAATTGGAAGGATAGAGAGCAATTGGGTAATCATTTGGGAAATGTACAAGCTAATGATAAAGTAAGCCTCGTATCATCAAACCACTTTTATGCCTGTCACTCACACTGGGCACCAGCACAGTTAACTATACCTGTAATGATGTCTTTCACATGATACACCACATCCTTGATGCCCTCATGTGTTTCTAAATACAAAAGAGCAAGTCTTTGGATACCCAATAAGAATATAAGTACTGAATTTCGGCAAAGCTTTTAGCCATTAATAAGAACCTTGGAGCACAGGGTAAAAAGGGATCTCCAAAGTCACTGAGCCAAGTTGTCTACTGTTTCAGGTAACCATACATAAAATAAAATGCTTTCAAGATGGAGCTTCAAAAGTCAGTTCCTACTGGAAGGCTATTCCAGAACTTCATTAATCTGATCATTAGAAACTCTATTCTAATATCCAGTCTAAATTTATATGCAAATTTATACACATATAGTATATTTAAAGACACTTACTAAAGATCTGTATTTAAATAAAAGTCAAATTAAAATTGTTTTCAAATAAAGCAGAAGTTGAGTCAAGGGAGTGCATTTTCATCTTCAGTAATTATTATGCAGCATTAATAATGTCTTCTTAAAGTATCCAGACATAATAATAATATTCCCCTTTTTCTTTTAGGGCACAATTCTCCTGTCATGTATGCAGAGCACATCACTGCTTTTTGGCATAATTTAAATGAAAGTTACACATAGTGGGTCTCACTTCCTCAGATTACATTAAATTATTATTTTATTCTTTTCAGGTTCCAGTACAGGGGTGCGCAAAATGTGGCCTGTAGGCCAGATCCAGCCTGCCAAGGGATATTATCCAGCCTGCAGCAGGTCTCTTGGCCCTGCCTAGCCCAGGCGCAGGGGGCATCCCAGGCCGAGGTACATGCAGCCAGTCCCGCTGCCCTCAGGCAAGTAGAGGGGTTTGGGCAGTGCAGCACCTAGATTCAGCTTTCCAGCAACATCAGCAGTTGTGGCTCCTTCTGGTTGCTGCTGCAAGTGTCACCGCTCCTGCCAGACTTGGCCCTGCTACCTGGGCACCCTGGCCCATCCACCCCACCCGCACCACTGGGGCACAAGATGGAGTGGGCAAGCAGGCAGGGTCTCCATGGAGACCAGCCTGGGACCCTCACCAGCAGAGAGGGCTCAGCTGGGTAGATGGGATGGGGCCACAGGTGGGTGGGAAACAGCATCCAGGAACAGGGCAGGTCTGGTGCCAGGATCATAGGGCAGTGACTGTGTGGAGCTGGGGCCCAAGCTCAGGGCAAAGCCATGATGCAGAGAGAGGCTCTGTCCTAGGCCTCAGCCTTGCACTGTCACCTCCCCGTGATCCCAGCCCCCAGCCCCCACTCACCTGTTCTGCTCCCAGACATTGCTTCCTGACCACCTGCAGCCACATCCCATCCATGCAATCGATCCTGCCCTGCCAGGGGGTCCAGGGCCA